TGCAAAAGTATATCTAATAAAACTAGCACCATTTTAAAAAACACAATTATTATGTCCTCAAGGCTTTTAATATTTTCATCTATGTTTAATATAATTATATTCCAAATGTCAATGTAGCATAAGTTGGCCTTGTTCATAGTTATATGTAAGACTACATGTGTTAATGACTTTATTCTTTCCCTGCACTACACGACTTAAAAATTCATAACTGCTGTCAAATGTTATAAAAAAAAAAGGTCTTTATTTTCTAATAGTTAGTTCTATATGAGAATAATAGAAATGTCAACATTCTCTAGCTAATATTTCGCATTGCATATTGTTTGTGTTCTCTTCAAGAACTAAGAAACTCAATTTGATATCTATATAAAGAAAAAACACTTGTTTTTTTGTTTAATTTATCTATATTTACCAATGAATGTAAACAAAGCGCATGAAGTGTTGCATAAACTCGTGATTCTTGAAAATCATCTTCAAGTACTAGTTCATCTTCATTTAAAATAAATGTTGAAGATACTGTTGACTCTCCACTTTTAGTTCTCATACGATTAAATTCAATTCCTAGTCTATCTGGTGTATTTAATTGTTGTTCATTATAATTAATAGTTTCTTGTTGAATTTTATCAGCAACCATAAATGCATTTGTATATGTATCATTTAATGATGGTAAAATTGATTCATGTCGTTTTTTTCTTTGTTCATTTATATTTAATGATGTATCATTAATTACTATTGTAGGTTTTTTTAAAACATTTTTTTGTTCAGTTAATGATGATTCTTGATTTGTATGATTTATATGAAGATTTCGTAATGTATCATAAACACTTTGTAGAAAATCATTTTTTTTCTGTTCGACAATTTCATTGCCTATATTATGATCATGATGATAACCACGAAATAAAAATAAACCTAATAAACCAATACAAAATCCTGCTATACCTAAATAGATCATAGCAGATGGATCTTCTATATGATTTGGATTAATTAATTTATTAATAGCATCAACAATAATTGAAAATGATAAAGATAATAGAAGAACTTCTTGTAAAAGACCAGCTAATAATTCTAAACGAGCCCAACTATAATAAAAAAAAATAAAAACGAAACTTTTAGTTTTTTAGAAAAAATGTTTAATTTCAAAATCTTACCCAAAAGTATTTTTAGCATCTAAACGTTCGACTTTTGCATAACGTAATGCAAATAATGAACCAACTAATGCAATACCTTCAGCAAATGAAAAAAGTCCATCAGCAATAAGTAATTGTGATCGAGAACGAATTCCATATCCAATTTCAGCTATTGCTATACCAACTGTTAGTATAAGCATAATAATCATGCGACCAGTTTTCGATCGTACAATTCGAATAAATCGACGTAGACGATGCCATGCCATCATCCGATTGTTTTTGACCTTAGCAATATTGTTGTTGTTTTCCTTCTTAGTTATATTTGTTGGCAGAACAATAACGAGTAATGATCATCTTGACACTGGGGATAGAACCATATAAAAGAAGAGAAGACAAATGGATTAATGACATTACTCTAGAATTCATAAGCAATATATTTTACTTATATAGCAATTAGAAACAACATTTGCATATATGAGAAACGGATCAATAGTGTCAGCTGGTATATGCAGCTGTTGCCTAATTCTATTATGAGAAACGGGTGAAATGATATAGAACAACAAGTAATGTAAATAAATTGACAGACGATGATAATAAACAAGAAAGTTCTTCACTAAGAAATGATTGTATCAAGATCAAAGATGATTATCATAAAAAAAATCGAACTGAATTTATGATAAAAAAAAGAATGAGTTTTCTTTTATACCTCAAAAGAAAGTTTAATTATAATTTTTTGTATAATTTCTAGTTGGATTATTTCGTTTCATATACAATATGAGACATTTTGAATATTTGAAGCATCAATATTCTATCTAAAAATTTCGTAGAATTTTCTTCGAATTTATTATCTACAGAAGAAAAAATAGACATTAAAAACGAATTATTTCCTTAAAATGACTTATCAAAAAAATATTTTAATTATGTCTTTATCGGTATATCTGCAATAATATCTAAGTATACTCTTTCTAAATGTTACGTAGTCGAGTAAATAAATATCTGCTAATATTAAAATAAAATATCTTATGAATAAATTTATTTCTATTAGAAAGATCTAACAAAATGATACATTTACTTATTATTTCTAGCTATAACTAATATTTATTTTTTAAGCTTGATTTCTTGACTATAATCTTTTTTTCTTTTATCTGTATGAATAATGAAGTCTATTTAATATTCTTAGCAATCGATGTGATATAGTAAGGAATAGAATGAAAGAAACACTTTTTACCATCTAGCGTTTGTCTATTTGTCATATCGCGTTTACACTTTAGAATGTTTCCTTTCGCCTGTCGACAGGTTTTTTCTTACTACTGCTATTGCCATACTATTCAAACTGTTCTTTTTCTGTTGTTACGCCTTTTCTATCACACTATCTGCGCGTATATTATTAATGATTTTCAGTCTCTTTGATCTTATCGATTCTCTATAGTTTTCTTTCCTAAGAATATTTATCTACTCATATACAGACATACACAAACAAAACGATCTCTACATATTCTTTTCTAATTTAGAAAAATAATTAAATTATATAAAAATGATTTGATCATTTCTCTCATATGCTTTTTTTCTGTTGCTATTCATTTTTTCTGAAATCTATATATAATACTTGACTCTCGTAACACATTTCATATCATACAAAAAGAACTATGTATTTTTTGCCTGAAAATCAAGGCAATAAATGCGTGCAATAAGTCGTTGAATATTATAAACAAGATTTCTTTGTCTTTCTTCTATCTTAATATACGTGTCTTCAAAAAAAGCACGGCAAGTGTTTTTTTTCATCCGTCAAAAAAAAACAAAAAGAAAGAAAGAAAGAGGAAGAAACAAGAATGGTCTCTTCAAGTAGACGAAAAAATAATAATAATAACAAGAAGTCAGAAAAGTATCAAGTTCCTATTAGACTAAACGAAGAAAAGAAACTGAACCTTATATGGTCACAATTCTTTGAAAGTAAAACAAGCAAACCTTTAATTGTCATCAATCATATAAACAAGAATGATTTGTCAGAGACGCAAAAAACCCAGGAAACTTATGACTCTGAAGTAGAATAAAACAAGATTTCAAGGGTTGATTTTCATCATTTATTATGAATACGTGAGATAATTACATATATCTTTGGAGAAAAAAAAAGGCAGAGGACAAAAAGTATTCATGATCATGTTAAACGTGCAAAGTACTTTTTTTGCTTTTACGAACTTCCTTTTTTTATATTTAACATTAATTATACTTGTTATTGAGACTTAAAAAAACCAACATACATTCAAAAAAAAATAAAGTCTGCCATAATATGTCATTGCTTTTCAAAATAAACAAAGTTAATCATTTATGAGATAAGTTTTGATTCATCTTGGATTACTGTCATAAAACAAAAATAAATCTTTTTCTTTTTTTGGTAATATTTCTCAAGTACTCTAATTAAAACTTGTTCGCATTGTTTTCTATTTCGACTATAGCATCAAAGAATTTCAATACAGAGTAAATTATCGTTGAAAAGTTTTTCAAGTAATAAGCAAAACGTTTAAAAATCAAGCAACAAAGAATTTATGATTGAAGATTGACATTTTCACTAGAAGAAGTTTTATTATATTCAAGTGAAAACAAGTGAATTAAAATGTACCTTACTTTGTCATTATCAAATATAACTGATTCATAGAAATCAAGATACATCAAAACTAATAATAATGGATACTAATATATAAATGTTGATAAATATTTATGATTTCTATAGGTAATAATTATGTTAAGATTTTCTTGCATTATAAAAGACTAAATAATTGATATTAGTGATAAAATATGACATGCACGCAATAGAAGGAAAATATTTTTATTTCTTATTTTTTCTTGACTATAATATCATGCAAATACCAACATATTTTAATTTTTTACTTTTCAATGAAATTAGAAATAGTTTTGTGAAATACAATCTAATAGGAATGTTGAAGTATAAAAGTAGAAATTTAACTCTTCCGCTCTTATAGATATGACAAACATTGTTAGTAACGATTCATTGGAGGCATAACAGACATCTTGGCGGTGACACATGACAGATATGACAAATCCCCTAGCAACGCTTTCACTCTCTCCGAGCCACAGAGCATGACAGACATCGTTGATATATGATCTGCAATTGCCTATCAATAATCTCTCATGATAATATATGAATTATTTCTTATTACAATTACTGAGGATTAAGTAAAAGGTTGCGTGAAGAAATGTGTCCTAAAATAGATAGAAGAAAATAATCTTCCTGTGATCAACAACAGCGACTACATCGTGTTTTACATTTTAATCCCGTAAGAAGTGCGCTATTTTATTACAGAATCTAAATAGTGTAAGATGATTCTGTCCGAATAAAAAAAAAAGGAGTGTTGAACCTAATTTTTGACACATAATGCTTTGTGTTTATACATAATTCCTTTTAATGTCATTCATCCGATAAATCAATTGAGTATTGTAATTCTATGAACAATATTAACATTCGAATTAGTAGAAGTTCGAAGATGCGTTAAAACTATAGGATTTTATTAACGATATAAGCAGAGCATAGAAAATGAATGTAAGAAATAAAAATTAGTATTGTTGAGAATAAATATTTAGGGAAAAAAAGACAACCCTATATATGCGTTGAAGATTGCAAAAGAAAAAATAAGAAAGAAGACTTATGAAAAAATAACAATGAGATGTAAGCTGAATATTAATATATCCAACAATGAAAAAACATGTAAATGTATTTTATAATACTGTCCAAACAAGAATACAAACATAATAAATCATTTATGTATCACGCATTGCATCGCACGGAAGAAAAGGAAATAGAGTTTTTTTGTTAGTTTGAATTACATATATTGATAAAAATTCAAATTGTTTGTTGAAATATTAACAATGTTCAGAAAAATAATTTTCATCTTGACTCATTGTTCGTTGATATGGAGGTCTTGGAGATTGTTTTTCATCTTGATTATCTTTCTCTGTTTTTTCATCAGATGTTGCTATCAATTCAGTTTGATCTTCAGCTTGATTTTGTCGTGGTATATCAGATGAAAATTGTTTTTCGTTTGATATTTGTCTTGTTGCATCAGGTAAAATAATAACATCTTCTGTAGGTAAATTAGGCGTATTTATGGTAGCTAATCTTTTTTGTTCACTAAGACGTCTTTGTAATGATAAACGTCTTTCATCCTGATGAACATCTTCATTATATTCACCATCTTCAGCAATTGATTGTTGAGGTCGAAACAATTCACTCATAACACCACCATATGGTGAATAATATGGATTCAAATCCATTCGACGAGATGGATATCGAGTAGGTAGTGAAGGTACTGTATCATATTGTCCAAAGTCTTGTAATTCATAAATACTATGAAATGTTGATTGATAATCATATGGACGAGTTGAACGCATACCAGATACGACTGAAGCAGCATCATTAAAACTATTTGGTGCTTCTGAACGTTTTTCTTCTGTTTGAACAGGTCGTTTAGCATATGATGAACGATGTCGACGAAAAGTTTTACTTATTGATGTTGGAATTGTTTCTATTTGCAACATTGTTCTTGGTAATGGTATTGTTTTTGTTTCAGGTAATAAAAGTGCCATGGAACCGAGAACTAATGAAAGAACTCCATAAATAAGACGAGGCATCCAATCGTTTATTTCACCCTTAAAATTAATGTTTTAATAGACGAAAAATTTCACATGAAGGAGGAGAATGGGTCGACAGTTGGATTCAATGTATATGTGACAGTCAATATGCTTATTTCTATCAGGACTCATTTTCGGACATTTTGTGTAATAATAGTTTGAAATAGAAGAAATCAAGTTTCTTAAAGAAGTCATTTTCAACAGTTATCGACCCTCCCCCCCCCCCCTTCTCCTCCTCTTTTCTTACCACATCTGGAGAAGCAAGTGCAACACCAATTAACCGAAATGTATAACAAATACCAAGTGCTGTACATCTTCAAACAAAATAAAAGTCTTATAAATAATGCTTAACTTTATATTTACCTTAAACCCGTTGGAAATATTTCACATGTATAAATAGCTATCACAATAAATGCAGCACGAGTTGAAAGTTTACCCATGAAATAAACAACAAGCATTGCCGAACGTGTTTGTTCATTATCTTAATATTAATTTTAATAAAAATCAATGAGAAAAAGAACAATTTACTACCTAATTTAACAGCAACTGAACCAAGTAGACAAACTTCTGCGATAAGAAAAAAACCAAATGTTGGCCATCGTCGACCCCACCTAAATAATAAAAATTTATTTAATTTACATTAAAAAAATAAAACATCGTATCGATATATTACAGATAAACCAAAGGAAATGCTATTATAAATGATACAATTTGTATAAGATGCGAATAAAAGTAATTGTGAAAAAAATTATCTGTTAAATGTCGTGTTAAATGTGGAGCTTCAAGACTGTATTCTGTTAATGAACTAACAAGCCTTTAAGAAAAAAGAAATCGAAGAAAAAATTGTTTGTTTGTTTTTTTTTTGTTTTTAAATACAAACCAAAGACCACACATAATAAGTAAATAAATAGTTACTACAGGTGAACGAAAAAAATCTGTTGGATAAAATGTTGATATTGTTGGATAATAATCATGACCACTTATAACTTTTAATATACGTTGTGATAGATTAGTTTTTTTTCCTGTTGTTGCTTGTAAATCTACCATATCAAAATCAGGATATTTTGTACCCAATGATTGAATATCCTCTAAATAAAATAAAAAAATTTTTTTCGTTCTAAAAATGAACATTTTATCGGATTAATAAATAAACAAACGCAATCGAAGTAATGGTTGAAAATCACATTGAATGCCTTTTGAACGTTTACCACGAAGAAATTCACGTGCTTCACGAAATACATTTTCAAAAACTATACCATTAATTTCAGATATTCGTTTTAAAGATAATATAGCTGTTACATAATCTTTTTGTGATGTATACCAAAACATTGATTCTTCCATAAACCTAAATTTACAGATTTTTATGACTAAGAAATGAAATTATCTACTATTGTCTCTCTAAATTAACATCGTTGTTCTACAACGAAGAAAAAATGTTAGCGCAATCTCTACAGGATTAAAATGTACAACACAATGCAGCTACTGTTGGTAATCACAGGAAGATTGTTTTATTCGATATATTTTGGGACACATATCTTCATTATCTTTTTACTTAATCCCCCAGAAAAATAAATAAAGAAGTAATTCATATATGATAACGAGACTTTATTAATATATAGTCTTTGATCGAGGTGTTGCTAAGATCAAGGATATGACATCCATGAAGTTGCACTTTCACCCATTTTCTTCTCTTCCCCACATCCCTGACTAAGGCATCTATCGGAATCTGTGACCGTAAATCAATAAAGTCTGTCGCAATCTAGAATGTGGAAAAGAAGAGTGTTGCTAAGGTGTCTGTAATGGCCTATAATGAAGGAGAGGTATAAGAAGAAGAAGCAGAAAGAATACTGTTGCCTTGTAGTTTTGGATGCTGATTATCAATAGATTCATTAGCCCGATATCTTTCCTACAACTAATACTAGCTGTAGCTCCGGACAGAAGATCGGCCTGACGCAGAGTTCTTGCACTTATTGCTAAAGTTTCCCGTACACGCCGACTAATCACTTACTAATCACGAGGATAAGCGGATGTCACAACTCTCTTAGCGTGCTATTGGACGGATAAATTATTTGCGTGTTTAAATCTTTGTTTTATTTTAAATAACTTTATCAGTTTAGATTTTCTATTCTATCTTCTTATCAACATACCAATAAAGACTAGCGGTTAGAATCAATGGTACAGAAACAATTGCTTGTAAAATTTTCCAATTTTTTATTCCTAATGCAATCCATGGTATAATCAAATCTAGTAAAAATACTACACCTATTAATGATAGAGCATAAATAGCTCGTGTTTGAACTGGAAACTAAATAGAATTTTCAAAAAATTTTAAGAGTTATAGAACAAAAATTAATCTGTTACCATTTCCATAACATATGGTAAAGTAATAACATGTACAGCACCAATAGCAAATCCAATAAAAAGCATAAAAAATATATAAGAAATATAATCTTCACTTAATAATTGAAATATTGATATAACACATGCTGTCCACATTGAACCTTTAATTATTTTAATTAATTTCAAAAAAATGAGAAAAAAAAACAAAATAAAATAATTTACCGAGTAAAATCATTTTTCTTCCACTATGGTCAGCAATATAGCCAAATATGAAACCACCCAAAATGAAACCAATTATATACAATATATAAGGTATTTTCACACGTGTTTTATCACATAGAGTATTAAACTAGAAAAAAAGTCGTTCTTGAAAATATAAAAAATATATATTCAAACGAAAATGAGCAGCTAGTTAATTGATTCCTTTTTCCGGAGCATTTATACTACTACCGTGATGTCATGCATCTAACCGAAAGAATTTTTCTTTTTGTTTAAAATTTGAGAATGAAAATCCTTACATCAGTAAGTACACTTCGTCCATATTCTTTGCTATAATTATATACTGGTTCAACGCTTTGTCTTCCATTAATAGGAATTCTTTCGGTATCGTTATACAAAACTGTGATTATTGTTGTTGTTGTTGTATCCAATTCCGTAGATAATCTATCACTTATATTTGATTTCTTCGAATCATATGATGTACAATCAATATATTTCGGTGGTAACACTAAATATTTCATTTAGAAAAGAAAATATCAATTAGAAAGCTATTTATTTTATTTAATAATTCTTACAAGCAAATGATGGCATTTCTGCCAACCAAGCTCCAATGACACCATAACCCAATGCCAATAATAGATAAGTACGTAATTGATATTTACCAAATAAACCTTTATGTGTACTTTTTAGTGCTTTATCTGAATCCCAAGTTTTTTGTGATTTTACATTTGGTAGTGTTTTAGCCATTGGTAATGTTGTTGGACTAATTGTTGTAAGAATTGGTTCTAGATAATTTAAACAAGACATATCAGACATTGGTCTGATGGTTTTTTCTCAATAATACAGTGAATGACAGACTTATTGTTTGTTTGTATTAGTCAATTATTTATATGCAAAAGTACAAGCTTTTACTAACCATTTTCCCATTCAAACTCAGTAAAACTGGTTTTGTTCTGACGAACATAACGACCATCGGGTCGCAAAAAGCTAGCAGAATAATTTCTACGATATTGAGGGTCGGTTGTCATCTTAGATCTATTTTCGTCTAGTTTGTTGATAGATATATATATAGAAATAATGGGAAGAAAAAATGTGTAGATTAATATGTGATTAAGTAAGTTATTATTTGGATTTTGTAAACGAATATTTTTATATGAATACTAAAGGATAAAGAACGACAATGCCTGATTGCGTTTTTGACTATATTCGATAAGAGAGACAAATAAAGACATGTTATAATTATGAATGATACCTTCGAATAGAGAAAAATTTTTTTTGCGTTCTTTCCTTACTTTTTTTTCCTTTCATATATGTATTTTTTGGCAAAAAAAAAGACATATGCCCAAAGAATGTTGATAGTCAATTAAGTAAAAGAAATTATTCACGGACATATATGCTATCGTGGATGTAAAGAGTCATAAAAAAATAATACTTCAATTTATTAATAAAGAACGAGAAAAAGACAAACAATTGTATACAATAGAAAATATTGATGGCTGTAAAAAACTAAAGAAATCGAAATAATTTACTGATCACCTACGTTCGTTAGCCATATCATCTTGATGGTTAACTATCATTCTGTATCGTCGTATAAGAATAAAAACAAAAATAGTTGTTATTCTAATAGATTCTTTTTTTGTATCGTTATAATCTCATTAAATATCAGCAAGAAGAAAAAACATAAATTTGGGCGATAGTGTAGGATGTATAGGTCTATTATTTTTCGAGTTGTTTGGCGCACATAAGAAAAAAAATTAAATACCCTCTTTGTCCTATCATAGATATCATTGAAAGTAAATATAACGATGACGTTTGTCAGAAAAGAGATTAAATCATTCTTGTATCTATATATATATTGATCGATGGTTCTTTAGATGAAGAGTTTTACTACATAACTTTTAAATTTATGAAATATTTGTTTAGTACTTTCTAAAAATAGTGATTAGATTTTTTTTTTGTCTCATATTGTATTTTTCTGTTTTTCTATACTTTGTCGTTCGTCACCTTTGATTTTACACATTTACCCATCAAAATATACATGCGTTAGTGTACTTTTATTATTGTCCTTTTTCCCCTTGAAAATCAAACTTACTTGTTTATCCTTTGCAAATAATATGTCAGTGTAAAAATGACAAAAATATTCTAAAGAAGCGAAAAAAACTAAATGATTATGCTGTAGGCATGTAACTAATTTTAGATTTCACGGCTTGTTATTTAGACAGCTCAAAAGAAATAAGAAAAACGTACATACCTCATAGTGATGTTCTTTCTTTTCGTTTTTTGCTATCTCATTTTTTTGTCTTTTTCACTATCAATCACCATTCCATCAAATGTTTAAGTTTCATTTACATTTATCTATGCATCAGCTCTTGTTTTTTTTTTGACTCATTCTGTTTTTTTTTCATACATACACATGTAACGAATATGCCATAAATAATGGCACCATTTGTTTTTATACTTGTGTCTTCTTATTCAAGTTGCATCGAGTTTAAATTTTTATTGAAAGATTCTTTTTGTCAATTCTCTATAAAATAATATTGAGTGTCTGAGGAAGCATGGTCCTCTCGTAATAGTGTCAATTACTTTCTTAATTTTGATCAATCGAACTTAAACTTTCTATTAAAAGATTCTACATTCGATTCTTTATTAACCTTCTAAAAAAAAGATTATTTAATCGAAAATTAACAAGAAAGATTGTGAACTTGAAATAGTATTTTGTTGAAAATTCAGAAAAAATTTAATCTTCAATATTGAATGAATTATTTTTTATTATTAACGATTAGTAAATTAGCATTTTTCTATTTAATGGAACAACCTAAGACACATGTCGACAGATATGTTATCTACGGAGGTCAATGAAGTTCCCCGTAAGTAATATCACATTGATGTTCTTGTTCGAGATAGTATTTCAAAAATATTTTATTCCAAACTACGCTCATATTACATTAAAATAAAGTTAAAAACATTCTGTTTCTTGACAGATAGAACGATCTCAACAGGTACCTTGAACCAGAACATCAATTGAATATTACCTATGGAGAAGTTCATTGACTTTTGTAGATACCAATCTATCAGCATGTATCTTAGATTGTTTCATTAACTAGAAAAATGTCCATTCACTAATTGTTAATAATCAAAAATAATTCATTAGATATCGATGACCAAATTTCCAAGAGAATAATAATTCAGGTTCGTGCTCTTTCTCGTTCATCTTAGATTTAACAATTTCTTATGGAAATTTATAAACAACCAAATGTCGAATCTTTTGATAGAAAATTTAAGCTCGACTGATCAAAATGAAGAAAATAATTGACAAAATCCTGAGAGATCCATTTCTCCTTTGAGCACTCAATATATATTCCAATAAACGAATGTAATCGTGCTAAATTTTGAATACTTGATAAAAATGTTGAAACTATAACAATTTATTCAAATCTCTCAAAATATTATTTTTCCATAAAATTTTGGGCAACATATTTTTACTATCTGAAATAGATTAAATCTTACGTTGATGTATTTTCAGTTGATAGTTTGGATGAATTCACTTGAAATATTATTCATATATGAAGAATATGTTTTTAATAATAAACTTTAATTTAATGAAACTTCAATAAGACATAATTATAAAATACAAATGGTTAGTGTTTTGTCCAGATATTCTCTTTCAAAGGAGCAATTAAAACGTTTAGAAAAGCGAACATTAACTTTTGAATGCACAGACACTTAGTATGTGACACAATAAGCATAAATTCTGGGAAAGCGAATCTGGTCTTCGGAAGGATGTTGCTCCCTCTCCTTCCCATGTTGGATAAAGCGCTGGAAATAATGCTATTATTTCTAACGTATTGATTATTATCAATCAATTGAACATACCTATCATTTTCTTACATCGAACGTTAAATACTATTATAATTATTTAAAACGATAAAATGTGAACTAACTGTTTTTCTTTTAGTATTATATAATCGATGATAAAATAAGACTACAAGTGTATGAATATTACAATCTTTTTTGGTTTGAGTAAGATCTAACAGGAGTTATGAAGTTTACGAAAGCCGATTTTTCCTTCTTATTTGATACCAGTGGAAAAAGTAATTTTCATCAAGTCCTCTACTCTAACAATACCCTCTCTGGGATAATTTTTTTCATGAAAACTTGTTCACTGGGTCTATCGGATGAGGCATTTTTCTTTTAGAAGAAATATCGTTTTCCTCAAGTTGAAGGCTCCACGTTGTGTGTGAAGATAAATTCCAGCATACCATGAAAAATAGAAGTTTTATGAAATGTTAAATTATACACTTGAGCATCATTGGTTTTCAATGAAATTTTCTATGTAAAAGTGCTTACCGACCAGATATATTATCTCCAAATTACAAGCCAATTGAACACTGTGTTGAAGAAATATTTAAAAAAACTAATCAGTGTCGTAATTTTGATATAGATTAGAACATGAAAAAATCACTGAAATAGAATTAAAATTTGTTTTTCCTTACCAAGTTATAACAGATCATTTTGTTATCAGCAGTACATAGAACTAGGACATATGAATTAAGTACGACATTAAAATTAAAAGCATCTGTTGTAATTCGGTAAGAAAAAACAAATTTTAATTCAATTTCAATAATTTTTGCATGCTCTAATTTATATCAAAATTACGACATCGATTAATTTTTTTTTAATATTTCTTCAGCAGTGTCCAATTATTTTATAACTTTGTAGGTAGGTACTTGTACATACAAAATTTCATTGCAAACTAATGCTGCTAAAGCGTATAATTTAATGTTTCACACAACCTCTATTTTGTGAAACTGATGTATATCTTCGAAGAAAATAGTGAGTATAAGTTTTATGTCGAAGTTTTGTGGCTCTGTCTCCCTATTTCAGACCTTAGCGTAACCAGGATTAAAGGAAGGCGTTGAATGGCATTATTAACCAGCTGAGAATGTTTGAGAACATTCTTCTTGAAGCTTAAATATCTGGAATATGTTTTTCAATATTTTAAATAATACAGTTTACTGATTTTTGCATACACATTTTAGCTTCAATGAGCCTACGCTAACGAGCTTTTTCATAGCATGCTAGACTTCACCCATAGCTACATCGTGGAACCCCTAACTTAAGGAAAACGATGGTTACTCTAAAAGAAAAATATATTATCCCATAGAACCAAACTCAGCGAACAAAATTTTCCTAGAAGACATCGTAAAAGTACGGAACTTGGTAAGATTTACTTTTTTCACTGGTATCCAATAAGCAGGAAAAATCGATTGTTGAAAATCTCATAACTCTTGTTAGATCTTATTCAAGCCAAAAGATATTGTAATATTCAGATACTTGTAGGTGCCCTCTACAAACAGGCCAAAGAGCAAGGACGCATAAGAACCATTCTTTTGGACCATATTCAATTTTCCTCTATTCATAATTTATTTAATGCAGAATTTCATGACGAATCATTTGGTAACAAAAGAAAGCAATTTCTAAAGGGTTCAGATCTAAGTTTGTATCATCAATGCATAACTCATACATTGAAAGATGGATCGTATAAATTTTCTCATACTAAGACATTTTCAAATGAAAACCATCTCAATTGATTATCCATCCTGTTGTTTTGCTCTGAAGAAAATTTCAGTTCGAATGGTCTAAGTATTGCTGAGTAATAATGTAAATATTGTTCTTCAATCAATATGAAGATCATATAGTTAAATGATTATTTCTGTTCACTATTTTCTTAATGTCTCGAGAAAGGAAAAAAATAAAATGAGTTTTTAATTGATTCTGAAAGCTTGCAAGGAAGCGCTACAAAATCAGATATTTTTCTATTTTTTTAGAAGTAGTCTTTGTGAAATAATACGACTTAAATTTCGTTTCGACACAAGTTCTTCACTGGTCTTTAATAGATTTTGATTGAAAAAATTAGTTACTGAGGCAAAACGAATAACATATTTGGAATCAGTAGTTTTTCGACGAACTTTTCTTTTTCTCGAAAAAATTTCACCGAAGTCCCGCTCAAGGTCCAATCAAAAGATGA